GCGTATTGACAGAACTGTCCAGCTTAAAGGTCTCCTATGCAGACAAAATGTTGATTGTGACTGAGCCCTGGAGTAGCTGTGTAGGGCAAGAGCAAGTGTCCGTTTTTGGAAGGTACGGGTGTTGCTACGTGTGTTGGTTGTTACGTGTCTTGGGGGTATAAAAGGCCTCCTCCCACCTTTCTTCCTCTTCTCTTCCTCTTCCTTCTTCCTCTTCCCAACCCTCTCGACCACCATCTCGCGTAGCCCACAAATGAGACAGCGTAGGCGGAGTGTCTAGTATTACCTAGTGCCTACATCTACGGAGATGTCAACATTGCCATTGTTGAGGTCTGCCGTATACTTGGTGCCCACCTGATCAAACTCCAGTTCTTGTGCGAGCTCTTGATAAAGTCGTGGATGAGCATTTGGGCTCCATAGCCATTGGCGGATCCCACGGAATACACTCCTATTCTTTTGAATTGAACCTCCTTCGTATCTACTCCTTTGCCACAGAAGTAGCTAGGTGAACTAATGCGGGACTGGTCCCAGGATGTGACCGCTATTTCAATTTAGGAGATCCTAGGTCGACTATGCTGCAATTTAACTGAAGAAAAGTTGGCGTATACGTTAGAAAAGCGACGGCAATTCACTTTCGAAAACCTGTGTCTAGTATATATATACGACGAAAGGACCCTCAATAGAATGAAAATGCCTAAGAGAATGGACAGAAAGGAAGAGCTGTTACGGAGTGAATATTCATATACACATAATATCTCAGCATAGGCAGGTTCTTTATTCGCTAAGTTACAAGGTGGCCGAGTGGCTTAGGCCTTCATCCCAGGTCTTTCATTATATGGAGTGGCTAACTCAACAAATGATAGGTAGCTACTCATTATATACACTTGCTCTTCTTATATATGTGGTCAGATTCGACTCAATCCCTAAGAGTTCCTTGACTTCCCCAGACCACCTACCCACCCTTGTCCGGAAACCCTTTCTTCAACAACAACTGCCAGGCAACTCACCATCAAGCCTTCAAAAATCCCATCCGAATCATCATCAAGCTCAGCGATAACGTTCAAAGAGACTAGAATTTGTCGATCGGTCCTATTCTGCCACACCGCAAGAATATCACCTGGTTTATCCGCAGCAAAGAACCTCAGCCTGCCGTTTCCATCGCTAGAACCAGCGCTTTCCCATTCGGTCTCTAGAAGAGACAATGCAGCCTTGGACCAGTGGCCAGGTCACAGCTGAGCCTTAATGGACAGCGTTGCCCGATACGAGCTCGTGATGATTGAAGAGAAGATAGTTAGTCAGTCAATGTATTTCATTCATTCTGCATATAAAGCCTAGATATCCTTCAAGATATAGAGATAGAATATATTTTCAGCAATTGCAATCGTGAACAATCACTAATTCGTAACCGAATACAAAGAAGACGAAGTACATGAGCGCCGAAGTGAACATCCGATGGTAAAGATACCGCCTATAAATTCTGCATGCCATATCGCCACCGCCCGGATCGTGCAGCAAAGAATCCGAATCCGCCCTCGTGAACTGCAAGGGACGTGCGAGAACCTCGGATCGTGCTCAATTGCAATTGTAAGTGTTTTATTAGGAACATATTGACCCTTTATGTACTTTTCCAATTGACTAGTTTACGACGCGAGTCGATTGGAGCTTGACTAGCTCCACGGCCCCAGTCACAATCCACTATCAATCGCAAGTACTAACCGTCGTATAGGTTCGATCGGGCGTTGCTCCGGCGGCGAAGATAATTAGCTCCACACACAACCAAAATGGCCTCCGCAACGATGGCCTGGAGAGCCAGCGTCCGGGCTCGCGCCCTTCCTACCTCCCGCTTGCCCCAACGGCCATCGGCATTGCTCCTGAAACGGGCCCAGCGCTACCCCGGTGCTTCACGATATGCTTCAGACTCAGCTGCACCTGCGCCCGCCGAGGCAGCCAAAGAGACAGGGAAGTACGCTACAAAGGAGGCCGCCAAGGAGATCCCCCGCAAAGCGGGCCGTGGCTCTAAGAAGGCCTTGTACGGTGTCTCGTTGGCCTTGACTCTGCTAGTGGGCTATATCTATGGAACCGACACCAGAGCCAGTATCCACAGATACGGCATTGTGCCCTTGATCCGCCTGCTGTGGCCCGATGCGGAGGACGCGCACCATATAGGCGTGGAGAACCTGAAGATGCTCTACCAGTATGGTCTTCACCCGCGCGAGCGTGGCGAGCCGGATCGTGATGGTGCCCTGGCAACTGAGGTAATGGCATTCCCAAACCAGTCGATAGCCAATCACTGACCAGATCGATACCAGGTCTTTGGGTACACCCTCTCCAACCCCATCGGTATCTCTGCCGGTCTGGACAAGCACGCCGACGTCCCCGATGCGCTGTTCGATATCGGTCCCGCCATCGTGGAGGTAGGCGGAACCACCCCTCTGCCACAGGAAGGTAACCCGAAGCCTCGAGTGTTCCGACTACCCTCGCAACACGCCATGATCAACCGTTACGGTCTCAACTCCAAGGGAGCCGACCACATGGCCAAGGTGCTGAAGCAGCGCGTAGCTGACTTCGCCTACGCCGCCGGATTTGGCGTGCACGAACAATCCGAGCAGCGCGTCTTGGACGGCGAAGCCAATGTCCCGCCCGGAAGTCTGATCCCGGGCAAGCTTCTCGCCGTGCAAGTTGCCAAGAACAAGCTCACCCCGGACGGAGACATCGAAGCCATCAAGCGCGACTACGTCTACTGCGTGGACCGAGTAGCACGGTACTCCGATATCCTCGTCGTGAACGTCTCTAGCCCCAACACTCCAGGCCTACGCGACCTCCAAGCCGCCGCACCCCTCACAGCAATCCTGACGGCGGTCGTCGCCTCCGCCAAGAACGTCGAGCGCAAGACCAAGCCCTACGTGATGGTCAAGGTAAGCCCGGACGAGGACTCCAACGAGCAGATCTCCGGTATCTGCGAGGCTGTCTGGAACTCCGGCGTCGACGGCGTCATCGTCGGTAACACTACCAACCGTCGACCCGACCCCTTGCCTAAGGGCTTTATCCTCCCTGCCGAGGAACAGAAGACACTTAAAGAAACCGGCGGTTACTCCGGCCCCCAGCTATTCGACCGCTCCGTTGCGCTCGTCGCCCGCTACCGCGCCCTGCTTGACCAGGGACCCCCGTCTGCGACTGACTCAGATACGTCTGTCGAGAGGGTGTCTGAGCTTCCGCGGAAGGTTATCTTCGCTTCTGGCGGTATCACTACCGGTAAGGAGGCGCGCGAGGCTCTCAAGGCCGGCGCTTCGGTCGCTATGATGTACACTGGTGTTGTCTACGGTGGTGCTGGCACTGTTACGCGTGTCAAGCAGGAGATGCGCGAGCAGCTGCAGAACAAATAAGCAGGGGAACTATGAATTTCCCTTTTTTATTATTTCCATTCGGTCTGATAGATCTGTGAATAACGTGGATATGAGCAAGCAAAGTAATATTCTGCATTCCTTTCCCCTTGTCCGTAGTAGGCTTGTACGTCGTGGTCGCAACCCATTTTCTGCTGGTTGCCGACGCAAGTCCCATCCTGATGAGAGCAAGATCCAATACTACTCCATCGGTGACCGAATCGAGTTCAGAGAAAGGGGTCTTTTTGATGAGTCCACCAAATCCTTCCTATGAGAATTGGGTGCGGAACCGCTCCCTACAAATTCCACATACAGACTTGAAGTCCTCGACTCGTTCTGGATGGGTCTTAAGATGGTAGTCGATATCACACATCTGGCATTTGATTAACATAGGGAAATGACATATCGGGGTATATACTAACCATTCGTTGCGCCTTAAGACATTTTCACCCTAGCAGAGTGAAGACGCCTAACCTCTTGTTGGCACTTCAACCTATCGTTGTGGAGTTTCCATGACTCCAGCACGATCTCTGGGTTGATCCGACCGATTTTGAGGGTGATCACCATTTGATAGCGCGCATCGGACATCAACTTTCACGGGGATTCTGAAAGACCGAACTCAACGACGACCGAGCGCCATTATTTTTTTCTTTGTGCGGCCCCGTTGGAGTCTCTTGGGAATTGACAGCCAGGTTGCTTTGCGGAGCCGTTTTGTATCTACAGTTGTCGTGTCTTTTTGGTAACTAAACCATTTTGCCACAGCCAACCTAGGCTGACACCGAGGCATCAAAGAATGGACATTTCGCGTATGTGACCCACGTCCTTCGGAACAGGAAGTTAGAGAATCTTTTTGCAATATTGAGAGCCGTATTGCCGTTGACATGGCAGACGAATCCAGTAAACTCGTGGCCCAGCTACGCATCACAGCCAGGAAGTCGATGGTCAAGGGCGCGCCAATCCCCTGTCCATCCTCGATTCGAACACGCTGCCATACAGGCGATACTGTGTGTTCTCTCTTGTATTCGGTCCTGGTTCGCAGTTCGGTACCTCCGACCAAATTTCAACTTCCCCTGCCCAAGCCGGGTCGTGGTCATGGTTGATCAAGACCACGAGCTTTGTATCGCCGTCTGAGTTTGTGTACCTCTAGCGGACATCGTTATTGTGTTGCCCAGAGAACTCTGAGACTCCGGACTCGAGCATCAGCGAGGCCTTTCCGCGTCTGCGGTATCGACATCGTGGATGGCGATGTCCAAAGCAATCGGCAGTCACAAGTGGTGATGAGACGAAAGGAGTCTTCTGCCACATTGGTATCGAGAACAAAAGAGCCGGAACCTCCCTCCCCAGCAAAGGAAGATTGGCTAAGACCCGCCTCATCGAATATTTTGCTTGCGATGACGAACACTTTCGTGGAGTCCATCATAAGGTTGATGGCATTCTCTCAAAATGAGCCTCGTATTCATGTCCCAGTTCTTCAACGAAAGACCTCGGCATATTTTCCGGTCGTATCTCGTTTGGAATCTCGTTTGGAATCTCCTTTGGATCTCCTTTGGATCTCCTTTGGATCTTCTTTGGTGTCTTCTTTGGTGTCTTAGTGTTGTAGCAGGTTGTTGAACCTTAGGTAGAACTTCTAAGCTTGGAAGGTGCCAAGGTCGGAAAGTGCCTCTGTCGTAGTAATTCAGGCATCAACTCTCAAAAATCAGGCATTTGACGCTCTGCACCTTCACAGGGATTATATGCAAGCAACCAAGTCAGGCAGTACCGAGAAAAGGAAAGGGGAAATTGATAAGTGTAAGAATACAACGCGACATGCATACATGTATGTTGTAGGTATAATAGCTCGGATTACTCGATCAGTTCAGAATGGAGCTCCCGAGTCCACAACGAACCCACTTAAAGCATGGAAGTGGACCGACATAGCTTCAAGGCCTATTGAAGTTGCCCTCAAAAAAGCCTTAAAAGTCATCTGAGAGGTAAATCTCTGATCGGCCTCGTGACTCAAGAAAACCGGGGAAGTTCTGCGGAGTTGCCGGGGTTCCCCAGATAGGCTTCCCGAGACTCGGGCGAGAGCTGAGATTCCCACTAGTTCTTGTCTAGATGCATCTGTCTTTTTGCTGTTGTTTAAGCTGTGTTATGTATTATTCCGTATAACAATGACAAGGAACCGTATAGTGCGAAACACAATACCGTATACCTGTACAATTGTAGACCGAGGCGTCCAGGTCCCAAGTGCGTAGAGGATATGGCGTACGAAGCCATCAATACAGCCCAATATAGCATCATCACGGCAAATTCAGCGTCTCCTCCACCTCACGGACAACTTCCCTCACACCCTGAATTTCATGCGCGAACCTGCCTAAAAACATCCCATCAACAGCGCGACCAAGCCCACCTTCCCCCCAAAGACCGGGCCCCGCACTGCCCCCATACAAGACACGCGCCGAACCAGGCCGGACACCAATAACAGCACGGATACCCTGCACAACAGCAGCAACGTGATCAACACCCGCCGGCTTCGGCTGGCCAATAGCCCAGACAGGCTCGTAGGCGAAGATAACGGGCGCGTCATCCGGGATAGCAGCCAGCACTGCGCGCACCAGCACCGCACACTCGGTCACAGCCTGGCCGACTGCTTCGGAGGCGATGGGACCTGGCGCGGTCACTTCGCCAACGCAGACGAGCGGGACCATGTGCTGGGAGCAGGTTGCGGCTGCTTTTCGGGCGGTTTGCTCGTCTGATTCGTTGAAGATGGCGCGGCGCTCGGCGTGGCCTAGTTCGACGATTGAGCAGCCCAGTGCGCGGATTGAGGCTGGTGAGACTTCGCCTGTGTATGCGCCTTGCAATTCCCAGAAGCAGTCTTGTGCTCCGAGGAGGAAGGGGGGTTGGGATGGGGTTCCGGTGTTGGTGAGGTTGGTGTCGTACTCTTTCAGGATTTGGGAGCAGGGCCAGATGGTTAGGAAGTCTGGGATTAGAGCCAGGAGAAGTTTGTCTCGGTTTGCTGGGTGGACGATCTCGTTGGATGGGTTGAGGAGGTCGCGGAGGTAGGTGAGTGTGCGATCTGGGGTAAAGTACATCTTTAGGGAGATGAGGAGGAGCTTCTCTGGGAGGATTGGGTAGGAGGACGCCATGTTGATGGTGATGGGTGATGTGTGTTGGGAAAGTGTGTGGTTGATTGTCCGGTGTTATGGAGGTGGGGGTTGTGTCTAGTTCCCGTCTCTGACAGGGATGGGGATTCTCGGATAAGTTGCTCTGGAAAGTTGAGAGACTTCTAATTTGAAAAGTAATTCCAAAGTAATTCCAAACGATTTTCTTGATAATCTTGGGAAGGTCGCTCATTTCCTTGTCAATGCGTTGCATTAGCGGGAATTTTACGTTGGACATTCCGATTGCCCCGTCAGGTTAGTGCCAAATGCATTATGGTATGAGAGGGGTTAGATATAGTGTACTACGTACGATGTCACATCAGGCCAGGGGTTATACAAAGTAAAAGACCGGAGTACTCAATACCGGAGTCCAATAGATGTCAAAGAGGCCAAAGTCAATGTAGTATCAAGTACCCCGTACCCCGGACATTCCTGTTATTTAGACTTTGCGTACACCTACCTTGTACATTCTAAAGTGTCTTCTTCATCTCATCTGTCTATAACATTATTAGAGCATGTACGTATATTCTATAGTGTAGATCTAAACGAAAGTCCGGAGTACATCGTGCAATAGTACAATAGTCCAGTAGTTCAACCCGCAGAACCGGGCTAACTTGACCAACAACATTGGAGACGGTGGAGTGGGAAAGTGGATGCGATGAGGCAATGCACATCAATTATGGGGTTTAGCGTCTGTGGGGGACAATAAGTACCCGTTGGACCTGTTCGATTGTAGACGTTTGGAAAACAATGTTATGAGGCAATTCACGTGTGTTGGATATCCCTGGTGTCTGCATTATCTTCCATTATGTTCAGGTTTTAATGGAATTGAATTAATTCCCGATTATAAAGTCAATTTGGTCAATTTCGATAATTCCCCTCTTCCCGTCTGGACATCCGGGGTCATAGCCGTGAATTCCCTCATATACGAGGTGCCCAGGCTTTACAGAAACCAATCCTGGCCTGGCGGGTAAAAGAAGATGAAACCAAGAATCCCGGCCCTTGGCTTCGAGGCACCAGGATTAAAGAGGGAAGTTAAGCGGCCATGCCACTGAAAAAAAGCCACAGCCGTCTTGTCCGTCTTGTTTTTTAAGTTGTGTTCACCACTGACATCGATGGCTTGAGTGTGGCAGAATGTTGAAGCCTGGCGTAGTCCAAGCGAGCGCCAGCGAGGTTTAATAAAACATCCCGTGTATTACGGGGTAAGATGCACGTATGGCCCAAAACAAGAATCCTAAAATATCCGACCTCGGTTTAACCTCCTTCTGGCGCTGGCCACTCATTGGTCGTCGTTGGGGGTGCTATGATGCTGGGGCCACCCGGGACGCTGGAAATACACGTAACAATATCAAAGTGCCATTCAAGTCGCTCAGTGGAGATGGATGATGATACCATCAAATGCAAGGATTGGCTGGACCTGAGTTTGGTTGCACGTAAAGTAGAGAGGGGAAGAGCTGAGAAAAGATATAAAGACCCCCTTTGTGTACTCCCCAGGATCTCTCTTCTGTATCAAACCGGTTTCTCTACCTCTTATCTCTACCATTCCATTCAATCCATACTCTTGTACATTCTTCATCCTCTTGTCAATACCTTCATCATGTCTACTCCTTTCCGCATTGTCATGGCCTGCGACGAGGCCGGTGTCCCATACAAGGATGCCATCAAGGCCACCCTCGAGAAGAACCCTCTTGTCGCCGAGATCATTGATGTCGGTGTCAACTCCTCCTCCGATAAGACCGCCTATCCTCACCCTGCCGTAGAAGGTGCCAAGCTCATCAAGGATGGCAAGGCTGACCGTGGCCTCTTCATTTGCGGCACTGGTCTGGGTGTTGCCATCGCTGCGAACAAGGTGCCCGGCATCCGGGCTGTGACTGCACACGATCCCTTCTCCGTTGAGCGCTCCATCCTGAGTAACGACGCTCAAGTCCTGTGCATGGGACAACGTGTCATCGGTGTTGAATTGGCCAAGAAGCTCGCTACTGACTGGCTTAACTATCGCTTCGACCCCAAGTCTGCATCTGCTGCCAAGGTCCAGGCTATCACGGACTATGAGACCCAGTTCCGCACCGCTGCTTAGACTATTGTCCTTCTTTGTCTCTTCTCACCATGACACCCGGAGCACTTGGGATGTCTTGGTTGTGAGAATCCCTAGTATTGTCACCCAACATTGCCAACCTTCCGACAGAGCATGACTTGTCATGTTCCATCGACTTGCCCGCATGATTGTTATGCCTTTCTTGTTCTCACAGCGCATGATACCACGAATCAAATGTTACTTCCGTTTCCAGATTGGATTAGAAGGTCACATAGATATGTACATAGTGAATGAAATAACTATAGTCAACTTCAAAGTAATATATAGAAGAGTAGCTATCTCCTCCGGGCCTGCGCAGTGCACCAATTGGGCTGACTCAGACCTTCTGCGGGGATCTATGAGTTTCCATATGCAGTTGTCTCGTGCGATTTGGATGGACTCACAAACATATCCAGGGGTTCTCACACCAGTGATTGCGGATCAAAAGCCCTTAAATCCCCCAGCTTTTATGAACTAGAGCAAGAGCAATATCCACTCCTATCACTCGCGACTTTGTATGGTGGACCGCCCCACATTGGGGAACAGATCAGCTACGGAGAATCCTAAGGCCTCACTCACACATAGACCATGGCCCAAGAACTCAAAGCAAAGGGCAACGAGCTCTTCAAAGCCGGAGACTACAGTGGCGCTGAAGATTTCTTCTCCCAAGCGTAAGCTATCATATCCGACCCCTCCGACCGTTCCGCTCCCCTCACCCCTCCAACCAAGTCGCAAACCCAACATTCAAATACCTCCCGACTAACAACTCCCCCGTTGCATAGAATCCAAAAGAACCCGCGCGATGCAACCTTCTTCACAAACCGCGCGATAACAAGAATCAAACTCGCCAAATGGGCCGACGTCGAACATGACGCCCGCGCCGCAATCGAAATCTACGGTCTAAAGAACCCCGCCGCCCTAAAGAGCCACTACTACCTCGCCCAGGCCCTCCTAGGCCTACAGCGCCCACAAGAAGCACACGACGTCGCTTCCGACGCGTACCAACAGAGTCTAGCAGTGAAGAATGCCCAGTCGGAGAACCTGTCGCGGATAGTTCTGCGCGCGAAGCAGCAGATCTGGGCTGCGCGCGAGACTGCGCGGGTGCGCGAGCTGAACGAGACGCTGGGATCTGTGGAGGCGCTTATTGAGGCTGATGTGACGCGTGCGCTGGCGGAGTTGCAGGTCCGTTTGGAGCGCGGGGAAATCGGGGAGATTGGGTTTGGGGAGGATCAGAAGGCATTGCGGGAGGATGCGGATGCTAAGGTTAGGAATTTGAGGGAGGCATTTCGGGTTGCTTCTAAAGGGGAGGTTCAGGAAAGGGTATGTTTTGGACGTGTTTGTTTTTTGATGAGGTTGTTGACGTTTGGATTGGATTCTAGGTTGTTCCAGACTATCTCGTTGATGGTATCACCTTTGAGATCATGCATGATCCTGTTATTACACCGTCCGGGGTCAGTTTCGATCGCTTGGGTATCACCAAGTATGTTGAGAAGTCTGGGGTCGATCCTTTGACTCGGGCTCCTATCAGCGTTCATGATCTACGGAACAATTATGCTCTCAAGGCAGCTTGTGAGGAATTCCTCACGAACAATGGATGGGCGGTGGACTGGTGATTGCTCTGCCTCTTTGAATTGTACATTGCCCCGGGGATTCCAAGGGTTCTCTCTTCTCTTTTTCTGGTGCATAGCGAGTGTTTTCTACAGCGGTTGCATCTGGACATGCATCTGTTGGCGTGGTTTTTGAAATAATATGCGAGTCTTTGAATTTACTTGTTGAATATGTTGCGACAATTTGGGTTTGACTCTAAAGCTATTCTGGTCATTCCATAGCCTACCTGTGTACGTAACATACTTGGATGTTGATGTATAGAGTACACTTTTATGCCAGAAATACACCTGCCCGTGACCTTAGAAGCAACTGGCGAGTGTGTCAAGCGACCCCACCAATACCCGTTGACCCCGCCCTCAACCATCTCCAACATCCCAACCATATAAATCCTCTGCTCTTGACTTTTACGTCTCCATATACTCAAAGGCAAAACCCCTCCAAATCCAAAATGTCCGACATTACCCCCTTCATCACCGTCCTGGAGGCCGCCCAAAAGAAAGAAAAGTTCACCCCCGAGGTCCAAGAAGCCGCCGCCGGCATCGACACCGCAGCTCTCAAGGAGATCTTCGCGAAGGTCGCCGAGCAGGGAGAGTTCGAGAAACTCGATGATGCCGCCGAGGCCGAGACCCTCCGCAAGGCCTTCGAGTTCGCCGCCAAGGCTGTTATGATGCTGAAGTCTTCCCCCGGTCTTATGGAGAAGAAGGACCTCTACATCTACTTCAAGGTTGGCAAGGGTGACGTTATGGAGAAGCCTGGCACGTTCGATTTCCAGGTATGTTCAGTCTCCAACTGACTGCGAGCTCGGGAAAGCCCCGGACTACAGCACGTTTGGAAGAAGTCAGGTAGCTGACAATGCATTCTTTGCAACCCTACAGAAGAAGCAGCTCTACGGTGCTTGGGAGAAGGTCAAGGACTACAGCCCCGCTAAGGCTCACCAGCTCTACATCGGTCACGTCAACACCTTTATTACCAAGTACGGTACCCGCGACGAATAGACGATACAATTGGGAGGACTAATTTTGGGGAATGACTGGCGATTTATCGAACATATTGTCGGGTGAAATTTTGGAAACACTGTTATCTGAAAGAGAAGAGATAATCATATTGTCTCAAAGCTCTCAGGATGAATAAACGAATACAAATGCATGCTACTTTCCATGACCCAGTACTCGTGCCCAGTACTCGCGTGCCCCCAATCCCGTATACTATACACTGAGATAACCATGCGACTCACAACTGTGAACTACTGAGACGAACAAGCAGCAGGTATAGGCAAGACTAAACACAAAGACAGCAGACTCAAACAATCCAGCTATCCCCCCTCCAGTCTGGCAGAGCATGCGAAGCAGTCGCGCACCACGGCTCATCAGCCGCACCATACGGCGTCAATGGAAGATCATAAGGCATCCGGAACCCGACGACCACAGAGGCCGTCTCGACACCCTCAGGCATAACAGGACGATCCCGCCTAAAGCAAGGAACCATCAGCGCGTCCGACACAGGGGATTTCCCTTCTGCTCGGGATTCAGACACAGATCCAGACGCAGTGTCGCCGCAATCCCCGTCTCGGAAAAGATCCGGCCAAACAACAACGCCAATCTCCCAGCTACAAATGCGCACCTCGCCACTCCCATTCGTCGCCGCGCCCCATGCCTGCGTGGACAGATTCGCCGACGACACCATTGCCCAGTCGATAGTCTTCATATCTGAGTCTGCGAAGCGGATGTAAGTCTTGATGTGTGGGGCTGCGCGGGCGCGGCCTGCTTCGCGTCTTGGGGGATTGTCTTCGGATAGGTCGATGCATTGGCCTTGGGGGAGGGAATCGCCTGCCCATTGACAGAGATGGGGACGCAGGTATTGCAGTTGCTTTTGTTGTGCTGCGCTTTGAGTTTTCATGTGGATCGAGCTGCCGGAGTTATAGCCGTCTAAGGAGCGGCGGATTTCGTCTGGGGTTGGGAAGATTATTGAGTAGGTTGTCGGGTGTGGGGTTTGGGTTGGGGCGAGGGCTTTGAAGAAGACGTCTTTGAGCCATTTGTTTGTTTGTCCGAGGGTTGCCACTGAAGAGATCTTGGATTTGTTGGATATTTGTTACAGCGCGATAGTTTTCTGGGGATGGATACGTACCTGGATTACTATGTGTGGTTTCCTGCTTGTGTTTTCCTGCTGGATGGGTATTTGGCTCATCAAGTCTTTCAGAGCAGGCCAGCCCCATAGTGTATCCTCTTCTGAGCTTGAGTCACTGACGTGCTTTTTGGACGGGACGCTAGCAATGAGGGCAGCGCGAATAGAGTTGAAGTTATAGCTATCCAGCTGCTGAACCAGCGGGCCGGTCTTTTTCGGTCCATACGCTTTCAGATAAGCAAGGAGATCCCTTTTAAAGCGTGCGCCCAAGCCAATTTTGCCGTCTGTCTGAGATCCTGCTGAGCTTGCCTTCTGCAGGGGAAGCAGTGGAGAGCACCAGGCGGCTTGGGTCATATTGGTCCAATCCATATGGATCATGTTTGCCGTGTGGATGATAACCCTGCTTGGTTAGTCAGACCTATATGGGCTATAGCGATCAATAACGCCTGGAAGATTCTTACTGGGCTAGATCATCATGTCGAAGAAGAATCATCATCTTGGAATGATGTGTCCCGAAAGGCTCCGGCATGTAGGCCACGATAGGCTTAACATTATGATATCGCGAACAGGCTTCCTAGTAGAAGATAAGTCTTGCTCCACTTCGAACCCTCAGTGATGAGATGTAGTCAAACAGATGAAGTCAACTCGATCAAAAGAAGTCTTGTAAGTGCAAACCTACCTCAACTCGAATGCGATTCGTGTCCTCTCTCCGCCACGATCCATGCACAACCTTTACTTGTACCAGAGCCCGAACATCCTCGTCAAACTGTGACATGAGAAAATCCACATCAAAGAGGTAGTTGAACTGCCAACATTCGCGGATCATGGGATCTCCTAGAATGTCGCGTAGTCCGATAGTGTCGACATTATTACCAACTGGCGAGTCTCGAATATGCGTGAGCTGTACTGGCGAATTGATGACCTGTGCAGGGCGAGCAGTGTCTCCAGTGCCAGAAGTCAATTTACCATCAGTCAGTCCGGGACAGCCTCGTGGCAATGGCGGGCTAATGGTCCTGTGTAAAGACGTCAGGGGTGTAGGCGCTGAGCCATCACTGGAATCTAATAAGATTCTGGCTCTTTTGGAGGGGCGCTCCATTCAAATATTTCTATGAGAGTGGTGGTTGAGTTGATGGAGGTTGAAAGGCGGTCGAGATGGGCGATCACGAGAGACGCGAGTATTGATCAAGTCATGTATATCAGAGGTAATACATTGAAATCGCACTACCTTGTCACGTCACATGTTATAATGTTACAATAGAAGAGACGTCTTATTGGAATTGAACCTTTTGCCTCTTTCTGCATTTTCCATCATTTTCATAATTTTAGTTGCTTTCGGGTCTCAAAGTATTGCCCACTAATTTTGGTTCGATTTATACAATTTCATTGTTCATCCTTGTACAGAAATATCTCTCCTCTGACAGAACTTACTTGCGAATCGCAAGCTTCTTGATCTCCGCCACAACTGCATCAGTGACCTGCTTCGTCGTGGCGTCACCACCCAAGTCACGGGTAAGAATCCCCTGCTCGCAGACATTCTCAACACAAGCCAACAACTGCTTGGAAGCCTCCTCCTCGCCGAGCCAAGCAAGCATCTCCGCGGCCGTCCAGAATGTAGCAACGGGGTTGGAGATACCCATGCCGGTGATATCAAAAGCGGAGCCGTGAATGGGCTCGAACATACTAGGATACTCCCGTGTAGGGTCGAGGTTAGAGGTAGGGGCGATACCGATAGATCCAGCCAGAGAGGCAGCGAGATCAGAGAGGATATCAGCATGCTAGTTGATCGTCAGTCCACAAACCTAGTTATGCATCGTTTCTCATTTCGCCAACTCACCAAATTGGTAGCAACGATAGTATCCAAACTCTCAGGCTTCAGAACCATGCGAGTGGTCATAGCATCAACAAGCATCTTGTCCACAGTGACATCATGGAAATCCACCGCAACAAGCTTTGCCACTTCATCCCAGAGAACCATGCCGTTGCGCTGCGCATTACTCTTAGTGACCACAGTCAAGAGCTTGCGCGGCCGCTTCTGAGCAGTCTCAAAGGCAAACCGCATAATCCTCTCCACGCCATGACGGGAGAAGATGGAAACTTCAGTCGCGACCTCCCATGGCTTTCCGGCGTGGGAGCGACCACCCTGACCAGCATATTCTCCCTCACTGTTCTCACGGATGATCACCCAGTCAAGGTCCTTGGGCCCGCACTTGCGCAATGGGGACTCGGTGCCGCGGAATACCCGTGTCGGGCGCACATTCGCGTACTGCTGGAACGGCTGGCAGATGGCCAGTCTCAGACCCCATAGGGAAATATGATCAGGGACATCTTCTCTCGTGTTTAGTATCATGGCTTCAAGGCATTGGTTTTGTCTGCTTACCAGGAGCACCGACGGCGCCGAAGAAGATGGCGTCGTGCTTCTTCAGCTCCTCGAGTCCACCATCGGGGATATATTTGCCGGTCTTTTTGTAGGTCTCGGAGCTCCAGTCATAATTTTTGAACTTCAACTGGAACGTCTTGAGTGTATCGGTCAAGGCACTCAGAGCTGTAATACCGGCGTTGATGACCTCTGGACCAATTCCATCGGCTGGGATACATGCGATGCTGTAGGTCTTAGGAGACATGGTTGTGATAAAAGTTCTTGTTCGAGGTGATCTAGGTGCGAGACGACAGAAGATGAATTCAGCGCGTGCGAGAGCCTTTAACGGAAATCTGATTCAAATTCTTAGATTTCAGTCTCCACTTGAAATCCGCCCATATACCTATCGCATAACCCCTCATCGTGAGCTCATTCGACTATCATTCTCGCGGGGTGCAGACGGAGATGCAAATGTCCGCGTTGTGCTATACGGACGGCCCACTCGGAGAAAGGCAACTCCGCGCGACAAATTGCATACCACTCAGTCGAGAAACAGCTTCTACCTAGGTGACTATACGTACTTGCCATTTCCATCTCGGCTGCCTTTACGTAGACTCTTAGGTATAAATTGAAGCTATAATCCCTCCCTGGGGCACTGGCACACACTTCCTCTGTTCTCTCCTCTTTTTCTTCGTGATTCATCCCTATCTTAGCGCTGCCGAGGTGTTCCCTACCTTAGTCATGGGTCGGAAGCTCTTCTTTGCTAAAAATATGAGATTGCTAAAGAGAAGCGCTATGAAGCTGTGATTCTGATCGAGAACGCCCTAGGATGTTAGATGATTTCGGATTGTGTGAGTGGATAGCCTTTATGCTTACAGAAAAGAAGGGCTTCTTGATGTACCCTGGTTTTTGCTTAACAAATCATTTCAGTCGTTAAACCTATGACAAAAGAATATATGACCCACACATATACGACAAGCTCCAGCCCTCCAATACGCGGATCATCTAGGATACTCCGGATAACCAGCGGGTTCTGGAATATAGCAGGAATGGAAATGGAAAATCATTTAGGGGAGTGAGTAACACTTCTTGAAACTCCACTCTAGTGGTAGTCTCTTCGCCTCTTACTCTTTCGTCAGATAAATAGGTTGTGCTGCTAGCGAGGTGAGTGGTGTGCCTTTTGTAGAGTATTCTTGGCAACAAATAACGAAAGCACGACGTAAGTCGGCTATTGGGACCAATAGGTCTTGATTGACATTGATGATACTAATGATGAACAATGAAGATAAGGACATTCTGGCAAGTCTGTTTTGTGTTGAGAGGTTTTGCTTTTGACTCATAGGGCTAAGGGGGTTTTAGAGTAACTGGAAACAGAGTTGTTTAGATATCGGAACATAGTATATATAGATATATATATTTTCTCAAGCTGTCGGTGGACGATAGGTCTACACAAGGCCACAAGTTTGCCGTTTAAGATCATAGGGTGATTAGACCATGATCCAATTAATGGGACAATAATTTCTTTTTCTATCATTCTTCCCCTGACTCTAACAGAGTCAAAACGGTAGACAGATGGCTGCCCCTGCGTATATCTTTGCCCTCCTTGGGGTGAACGAAGAGATCAAATGGTCCCTTAGACCTAGTCAGTACTAGAATTTGGGATACTTCCTATTAAACCCAACTTCTGACCTTCAATAGTTCTATCACTTTTTACTACACTATATCTCACATCCCACCTACTACTCTAGCAAGTGTCCTAACTTTACATGTATCTGAAAGAAAGGTAGTTAACCTTTGCTTAGAGAGGTTCAAACTCGTACAAAATAGCAGGGCTCCTCATCAGATTTGTATTGTTTCATTACTTTTACTCAGAGGTTTCGACCAAGGCAATTTTTATTCAACATATGGAGTATGTACTTTCACATAAACAGACAGAAAAGGCAAGAAAGACAGGAAACAGATGTAAAGAAAGCAACAACAAAGGAAACATCGACAGCAATACTGCAGAAAGAAAGTAAAGGAGGGTAGCAAGAGAGAAAGAAAGATCTATGTTTATGCTTGCTGTTTGGAACAGCAACTCAGGAAGGGTCATGAATGCCGAGTCAATGGAGGAACTGCTGTAGGGATACGTTTTGCCCACTGAGATCCGCAATCTGGTCCACCAGGGCTGCAATCTCAGAAGCAATCTGGTGTGCACCCTCCTCGTTGAAGACATCCGTGTCATACATGACAGTGAGTCGGTTACAGTTGTTAAGTGCCTTGGCGACCTCCACCACCAGAGCGTACGGCTGGTACATGCGGACGTTCGATTTTGCCATGACCAGCCACCGATCGGACTCGGATTCCTCACTGTTCGCAGCAGGTTCAAATGGTTGGTAGAGAAAAAGGCAACGATTGCTTGAGGTAGTCCGCGACAGACCACTTGCTTTGAAAATTTCATGCAAGCCGACATCACCATGCTCGGTAATTCCCCAGAAGATGTCCTGGACGGTCTCCAGGTAGTCGCCGAGAGCGCTCTGAGGATCGATTTGCGCACGGACCGGGAGGAAGTTGGCCAAGGTGCCATTGATGGTCTGGGGATCGACATCGGCCATGTCCACGTTGCGACCACTAAGAAGATAATCAAAGCTGACGTCGTTCTGGCCACTTGCGCGGCAAAGCCAGAGTTGATAGGCGGCTTGAAAGAGAATCGGGACGGTCACTCCCTGTGCGCGAGCCACAGATTCCAGGTTCCGGGGGAAAGTCTCCCGAACGGCAGCGGTGATCTTCGGGCTCTCTGCCTGGGGCCAGGTGTAATGCTTGTCTTTCATTGTCTCAGCCCAGAAACGCAGCGATTCGTCCTTGTCTGACTGGAATATGAAATCGGCAAAGTCCTTGAATTCGCCATGGCTGGGGATTGGCGTGCCTCGACGGATAGCGGCAAAGTGGTCATCAAATGTGCGAAGCAAGGTTCCATCGTATGCAGCATGGTTCATTTTGATGGCCACATCCCAGCTATTGTCGGAGTGTAGAAGGATGGCATATTTGATGAAAGGCTTCCCAAATTGGAAGCGCTCATTCCAGAACTCCTCGACAATCTTCGACTGCTCCTCCTCGCTGTCGCAAGGAACGATGGGTACGTCCAAGCCCGAGTGCTTCATGACAACACCCACCCACTGGGCCTCCGAGGTACGAAGCCAAGAGGTGCGCAGAATGTCATTGATCTCCGTCAGGCGACTGGTGTTGTGGATCCAGTCCCGGTAACTGGCGGATTCGGGCATTTTACGAACAGCCATGAGCACCCACATCTGTTCGGGGCGGTCACCCTCTTCGAGAAACTGGGCTTGTCCTGGGGGAGATGGATAAACTTGAAATAGTTAGCCACAATCATCTTCGTATGAGATCTCAAAACACAGCAGGTCGTTGCTTACTATACTCAACATTACCACCGATCGTCAAACCATGCTCGTGAATGGCATCTAGCACACTGGCTGGCGCCTTGTAGCTCGGCTTCAGTACTTGAGCACCTCTTGTGTCAAGGCGCATCATTGGCGTGAGATTCTCCAAGATCGGATTCTTCAGTATATCCTTAACACTGAGGAGGTATCCAGCACTGCGGGCAACGCTAGCCAGGCTAATAGCTGCGATGGAGTCGCCACCCAGAGATAGGAAGTCGGCCTTCTTTCCAATGCCAGATGAGGGGAGACCAAGAACCTTAGACCACATGTCTTGCAGTTTGGACTCTTCCTCAGTCTCCACGGGAACAACCTCATGTTGACTTCTGTCACCCTCGAAGGAATACTGGCTGATGGTATGTGTGTCCAACTGCTCAACCCACTTGGCGAGAAGTTTCCGATCGGTCTTGCGAGAGGGCATTTTGGGGAAGTCTCCAACGGGGAGAATATACTTGGGAACCATGTAGTGGGATAGGGTATTGAGCCCGGCTCGCAGGTCTTGAACATGAGCCTGATGGTCACCAGGTTCCTGGATTTCACAGGAACCAACGGCAAAGATACAGAAGGCAACGAGTTGCTTCTTACCATTGTGGTTGACTGCCAGGACGACCGCTCCTTGAACCAGTCCTGTCTTCAGGATCGCCTGTTCGATTTCCGTCAACTCGATGCGATGGCCATGGATCTTGACCTGGTTATCCTTTCTGCCCAAGCATTCCAGCTCGCCACCAGGGAGCCATCGCGCCAAATCTCCGGTTCGGTACATGCGATCGGTGCCCAATGTATTCTCCATGAACGCAGCCTTCGTAAGGTCCTCGCGGTTGACGTACCCGTCGGTTACCTGGGGCCCAGCCACACAAAGCTCACCAACCGAACCATAGGGTACCATGGTAGTACCATCAGGGTGCAGGATGAAGGCCATCACTGTTGGGAATGGTGCGCCGATGTTGCTCGGACGGCCGCTAGGATCAACCTCTTTCGTCGTGATTACCATCGAAGTCTCCGTAGGGCCGTAAACGTTGAGGATACGGTGGCCCGGACTCCAGCGTGCAATGACATCTGATGTAAGAGGCTCACCACCCACGATCAATGTTTCGAAAGAGGGAACCTCGCTAGGATCAAGAAGCTTTGCGACCGTTGGAGTGAGGATCGCCTGTCTGGCTGACATTGCGTTGATGACTCCTGGCAGGTCCGATTGCATCTTGTCCGGAGGCGCCATGCACAGAGTTCCACCGGTGCTGAGAGTGTTGAAGATATCCTGCACCGAGGCATCGAAAACGTAGTTGGCAAACTGGACCGTTCTCCACTCGCCAGAATACCTGTTTTCGGCAACCGCCATGCTGATGACAGCCGCCGCTGCAGCACGGTGGGGCACCTGTACACCCTTTGGCATGCCCGTGCTGCCGGACGTGTAGATGATATAGGCGGTATTGTCAGGAACAATGTGAACCGTAGTAGGGGAGGCAGGGAACTGATCGATCTCTGGCGTATCAATCCGAACGATATCCAGATTAGGGATAAAAGAGAACATCTCGGCATAATCGGCTTCGGTCAATATCGTTCGTGCCTTAACATTGTCGATGATGAATGTGTTGCGGTCCACCGGATTATCCGGGCTCAGAGGCACATATGCGGCCCCAGCTTTCATCACACCGAGTATCGCGACGATGGTGTTGATAGATTTCTCCAACATCAGAGGGATGGCGTCTCCGACGCACACTCCCTTTTTGGTCAGGTAATGAGCAACGCGATTGGCGCGGGCGTTCAACTCTGCATATGATAGCTGAGTCGTTCCATCCCAGTCGATGGCGTGGGCGTCAGGAAATCCTCGGGC